TAAACAAAATATAGACAAAAGTGAAGTCAAAACGAAAGAATAAATGGACGGAGAAACAAATAAAGAAATAAAATAAATCATGCAAATAATACTAACCGCCTCAACTCAACTAGTATCCTTTCGCACATTTCCAAATGCTTTGACCCGAAGCAATTATTCACACCCTGGAAGGGRACCACATCAATTATCTTCCTGTAAGTGAATCAAGTCAGAAAGCACTTTAAGACTCCTGTCAAGATTCTCAACCAATAAACATCAAGGCGTCTTATATCATTTCTTTTTCAAGCTCATCTAGCTTCTCYTAAAGATCACTGAACATCACAGATTGTTCAATGAACATCTCAAAATGAAGTATCTTCAATTTACTTTATTAACTTTAACCGTTATGTTCCCATACTTTCAGGCCGAAACCAAAGAACAAAACACTGGGTATTTCGAGAAAGTGGAAGGCTATGTTCTAAARGCAAAGGCTTTAAAAGAAAACAAAGTTCGCTCGGATTTTGAATGTGGTTTAAGGTGTGCACGATACGAAGAATGTTCTTCGTTTAACTATGCTTTGAAGGCAGATAAAGAGGGATTACACTTTTGTCAACTACTCAAAACAAATGAACATGAAAATCACGAGTTGTTTAGTGACAGCACAGAGTTCCATTACTTCAGGCGACTAAAGGTATCAAGATATCTGTTAAATATTTATATTTAAGGCGCAGAAGAGAGTGAAATTTGAAAAATTGTGCGTACAACCGCCGAGCGATACAAGTTAAAGTTAATCATTGTATTCAATGAAATACTAGTGTTGTAAAACTTTTTTTTATCAAATTTCGGAGTAGCAGAAACTTAATTCATTTTACCATCAGGATAACTACCCTCGTTACAGAATGTTTTGGGAGTTCCTCTCTCATCTTCAGTGTGTAACATATGAAATAATAGATGCATTTTCTACGCTTAAAGCTTTTTTACCGTTACGTGAAAGAGTAGGAAAAATCAAGTGAAAAAAGCGTATGTTTTTACTCGTATGTACAACGAAAACGTTTAGTTGCGAAAACACTTTCACAAAGAACTTATTTTAAAAGACGAACCAACAAACAAAAACAATTACTTTCTACTAGTATGTACAGCGAAAACCTTTAGTCGCGAAAACACGTCCACAAGGAATTGGGCCGCTTCGAGAAAAAAGCACAACTACTTTGTACCCGTATGTAGAGCAAAATCTTTTTATCGTGAAAGTACTTAAACAAGGAATTGCGCTGTAAAACTTGTCGCGCATCGCTTGCCTTGTATAGAAATATCAGCTAAGGTTTCACTCTGTAACGACGCCGTGCTTCACGTTCGGATGCCAGAACAGTAGTGGCTGGGGACCACACATATCGGCTAACCTGCGAGCAGTCTCTTTTTACCTCCTCTACTGGCGTAGAGGAGGTAAAAGGAGACTCTGCTGGCAGGGTACATATCGGGATGAGTGCGCAAAAATTTACAATAGAAGGACTATGTACTGGAGCACAAATAGTCACGCAAATCGCAAACAAACAATTAAGCAAAAACAAATGAAAAAAAACAAACATACACAAAAACAAAAAAAATTTGAGCTAGCAAAGAGTGATATGACACAGTTCGTGCCTCATAGAGAAAGTCTACAAATACCGACCAGCATCCATGATATTGGACGGGCAATACCCTATCCTTACAGGTCATAAATCATATGATGATAGTTTTCTTCTATTTTTTTAGTTAACATGTGAGAGTCAAACGTGTCTTAATGGTGGTACGTGCACAAGTGCCGCAGGTGAAGGTTCCAATTACACGTGTATTTGTCCACCCGGGTTTGTGGGAGACAATTGTGAAACAGGTCAGTAAATTCGCCCATTGCTCATGCGCGCGCCTTTTTCTTTAAGGATTAATCTCGTACCCAGAGCCTTCGTTTCTTCTGGCCTGCCGCGAAGAACGAGGGCTCTGGCATAATCCACTTTTTGGCGCATGCGCAATTTTCAAAAAAGAGATATATAAATGATCAAAATAATCAAATTARAAATTAAATCAAAGCAAAAATCGAAGTAAAAATCAAAGTAAAGATCATAGRAAAARCTCGGGAAAATATTTTTAGTTTTTGGCAAGTCTTTTAACGCATGGGCACTTATACCGGAAGTCCAAGAAATCCTGGTCTCAAAAAAATGGATTATGCCAGAGCCCTCGTTCTTCGCCGCAGGCCAGAAGAAACACATGCTCTGGGTACGAGAGTGCATCATCAGCGAAAACTGAAAAGGCTACAGAGAGCTCAGAGGCAGAAACATTGCGCCTCGTCAATGTATCATGCTTTATAAAATGTATGAAATATAACGTGCGCGCTGATTGGCTGRCTAACGTGTTTATATCAGAGTACAGAAACACGCTCACGCAAAATCGATCAAAAATATATTATAAATATAAAATCTCGCGTTCTGATCGGTTAGGAGTATAAAGCACGCAGCGCGCGCGCGCACTTCAATTGCATCATTCCTATCTAAAATAGCAGTTATTGTAATTCGTATTTTATAAAAGAAAAAAAAACTTGCTTGTTGTGCTTTGTCCTTTGAACCCTGTGCTTCGCGCATCATAAAGAACGGTGTTTTAAAAAAATGGATTATCTTTGTCAAATGAATCGAAATTTCTTTTCAAAATGAGTCGGTATGTGGTGGAATACTGGCACGTTCTGGTATATTTAAGTATTTTGATGGAAAAAAGGCGTTGACAAGGTCTTGTACTCGATATGTATACACACCTAATTGAAAAAAACGTTGTCGGGTTCGAGAAGGTCACATCATCGAAGCTAAGACCAAAAAGTTTTTTTTTGTACTCCGAAATGTGTATTATATTTGCATATAGACATGTAAAAATGCACAGTATAGCAAAGTCGGTCGAAGATTAACAACATGCCAAAGCCGTGATGCATAAAATGTGCACAGGAAGGGAAAACTGCAATACGCATGAAATTAGCATAATTGTTTGTCTTCCCATGTTCCCCTTCGGTCTTAGCTTTGATGATATAACCTTTTTTTGAGTCCAACAACGTTTTTTCAATTAGGTGTATATTTATAAATAATTGAACTCTAAAATAAATGAGAATATATCGTAACAGCCTCATGAGTTATCATTTTCTATGAGTGAGTGTCATAGAGAATCAGGAAATGAAAGAATCGATCCGTTGGCTTTAGSTATGTTAGTGTCAGGCTACGATGAATTGTACTCGATGTTATACAGAGTATATGAATGAGAATAACGATAAACCCCCTTTGATGTTTGGACGTTGATAGAAGAGATTGTTAGACATTGTGATGGATCTGCTTGACGTGATGATCAGGGTTTGATTGAGCATTTTAGTGAAGGCTGACAAGATATAGATGATCCAARAGAGATAGATGTGTGCATGATAGATTCATGTTATGGTTGAGTCGTGGTGATTGAAAT